TTAACGAGAACCGAATATTGGGTCGAGGTGGTCAAGGAACTGTTTACAAAGGAATGTTGATAGATGGAACAATCATTGCGGTCAAGAAATCAAAAGTTGTCGATGTAGGACAAATCGAACAATTTGTCAATGAGGCCGTTATTCTCTCTGAAATAAATCATAGAAATGTGGTCAAGCTGTTAGGATTCTGTCTAGAGAGTGAAGTCCCTCTTCTGGTATATGAATTTGTCCCCAATGGAACTCTCTACCACTATCTCCATGATCCAGACAAGGAATTTCCAGTCTCATGGGAAATGCGGTTAAGAATTGCCAACGAAGTTGCTGGGGCTCTTTCATATTTGCACTTTGCTGCGGCCATACCGGTTTATCATCGGGATATTAAGTCGTCGAATATACTTTTGGATGAAAACTATCGAGCCAAAGTGGCGGATTTTGGAGCTTCCAAATCGATTACCATCGACCAAACACACTTGACCACAATGGTGCGAGGAACCTTCGGATACTTGGACCCTGAGTACTACCAAACAAGTCAATTTACGGACAAGAGCGATGCCTATAGTTTTGGGGTTGTTCTTGTGGAGCTACTAACCGGAGAAAAGCCAATTTCTCAACTGAGGGCAGAAGAGGGTAGAAATCTAGCCTCGTACTTCGTCTTTTCGATGGAGGAGAACCGCTTGTTCGATGTTCTTGATAAGGAGGTATTAGATCATGGCGAGAAAGAAGAAATTATTGCGGTGTCCAGCTTGGCGAAAAGATGCTTAAGACTTCATGGAAGGTACAGGCCTACAATGAAGGAAGTGGCGATGGAATTGGAGCGAGTACGATCACTACGAAATCCTACTGTCGTCTGGCAAAATGAAGAAGAGATCGATCGCATTAGAACTAAATCTATCTGTGCTTCAGGTGTGATCTCCGCATTGATGCAATCGGAAGCAGAAGTGGAGCTGACTTCAATCGAGGAGGAACATTCACTCTTATGGTCGAGATGAAGATGCATTTGGTTGTCTTTGTCCAAATTTATGTGATATGAGACATCATAATCTCTTTATTTGCTTTTACACGTGAGTTGCAGAATAATGCTGAATATACTAAGAAGTGCCCAGAAACAATATGCAAGGTTCATGAACCCTTTTGATGTATTTTTTGTATCTCTTGTATCAATGATGACTATATTATCTCTCTTTAATTTCTTGTTAGTTTGCAAGGAGAGACAAGGGAAGGAATTCCCCGGTATGGTATATGGATCTCCCCTTATGTTCTCTCCATATTCCCTCTCTCCTAAAAAGACAAAGATAGGAAGAGAATTGGAGACCTCTTGGGTGGAGAAGGAAGACTTCATGTCAATTTGGGCTGACTACAACTGGGTAGGCAAGTATAGAAGAACCCTTTTGATGTACTCTTTGTATCTCTTGCATCAGTGATGACTATATTATCTCTTTTTAATTTCTTGTTAGTTTGCTTTAGCTTTTCACTGGGTTTTACTATCATATCAAGAAAATAGCCCCCTTACCAAAATACGCCTAATTAATTGTTTTGGAAATATTCTAACAATGCTTTATCAGCCATGTACTTCAATCTTGAAATATTGGTCCTCATTCCACGTATATGGGTTTCCCATTTCTTCGTATTGCATCAATAATTATTAATCCAAATATTTTGCAATAAGTCGTATTAACAAAAATTACTTCTGATGTCGATTTCTATATAAACGCGAGGTGTGTGCACTTTTACTGGTCCATGTGAATCAATGTCCATATGGAATATGTTTATATGGCTTTTACAAGAAAAATGTTGATTTGATTATTACGACAATTGTACTTCATACTACTTCAACTGATTTCTTTCGTCTGCTTGTTGTATTTGGCCGCTCCCGAACTCAATTTCATCGGTCTTGTAATATGTCCGCTTATTAATAGCTAAGTTTATTTCTGATTAAAAAAGAGTTAATATAACAAAAAACCTCAAACATGCATACATGTGATAAATTTACCCCAAACTAATTTTTGATCACCAAAGATCCCAAATTGGTACACCAGCGACAAATTTACCCTCCGTTGGTTTTCATTAAATTTTACTGTCAAATTGCTGATTTAGATGACACGTAGCAGTTGACAGGTATACCAGTTTGGGTTTTACTCTCCGTCTGTCACATGTTTACTAATTTGTGATTTTTTGTGATATTAATTTAATTTAACAGAGAGTAAATTTGTTACAAACGTATTAATTTGTGATTTTTCGTGATATTAACCCATAAAAAAACTTATTGTACATTAAAAGTACTTTACATTTGCTTTTTACCTACTCCATCAACAAGCTCAAGTTCCCTAGTGCATGTCCGCCATTAGATTTATGAGTAGATTCACTCATTTTAATGCATCTGTAATGGTTTGCTTAGAATATAACAAACACAAATTTGTCACGTGTGTTTCTTTTATTCTTACGGTGATTATCGTATACTTATAGTGTAAGCTCAATAGATCATTTACTTAAATGCGAATCGAGTTTATAAGTGATGGCCTCATCATGTTTTACCCAAATTTATATTAGGTCAGGAACTATATATAAGTTCAAGAGACATCTTCTACCTGTGCCTGGCGTTCCAATATCCACATTGGACTCATCATGGACATATTGTATTCATTATAAGTTTTTCAAAATCCTCTTTACTTTTGGAAAAGATTGCTCATTTATCTTTACTATTATATCAAGAAAATAGGACCCCTTACTTTTAATAAATCGCAATCCCTTTTTTTGCTCCCCAAAGGTAGATATAAAATTTACGCATTTAATTTATATACTTTTATGACAGTTCTCATACACTTATTTTGTAAACTCAATAGATCAAATGCATAAACACGACTGAGCTTTTAAGTTTATTTATATATTACACTGACCTCATCATAACTTATCTTTCATTATAGTGGGTCATGAACTATATACAAGTCCAAGTGACATATTGCATATGTACCTTGCTTTATGACAGATCAACCCTTAACTGCATTAGACTCATCATGAACAGATTGTATTCCATTTAAGTTATTCAAAATTATCGGACTAATTAAGGTTCATATTAGGTCTCAAACGATGGATACGTGGAAAAAAAAGTCAGCGCAAAATGTGTGCACCTTGCATTACAATGGATGGATCTATCGTCATCCATATTAGACTCGTCATTCGCAGATTGCATTCAAGGAAATATTTTTCAAAATATTTTGACTACGGTGTCATATTCGAGAAAGTATTCGGTGGTCGCTCAGTGCCATGTCATAGGCTGACGTGGCATGTATTTTTTTTAAAACCCAATCATAAATTAACACATGGCAATGACATGGACAAATGTAAAAAAATTAAAAATATGTACAGATTTGTCTCTCTCTTCCTCTCCTCCTCCATTCACGGCGAGCTCTCCTTCAGCCGCAACCGTGCGTTCACACACATCGCCGGCGGCCGTGGACCGCCGACGACCTGCCTCTGCTTTTTTATTTATTTATGCTTTTTGAGCATCCAGTCTCCGGCGGCGATGGACCACTGGCGAGCTGCCTCTATTGTTTTTCTTTTTACTTTTTAAGGCCATGGACGAGCCAATCTCGCAAGCGACGCCGACGCTCGTCCATGGGTGTCGTTCGGCTAGATCTGGAGCAGCGCGCAGATACAGGTCTGGAAATCTAGGCGCTCGCGGCCAAGCTTCCGTCGTCGGCGTCATCTAGATCTGAAACCTTGGCCGTGAACCAAGGTTGGTTTACTCTCCACAGATCTGGAAATCGCCGACGCTCGTCTATTGACGCCGACAACGGAGCCTTGGCCGCAAGCGAAGGCTGCTTTACTCTTCGCGGACGAAGGCCGCTTCATGCAGTGGGAAGCTTTACTGCAACCACCGCCCTTACCACGGAAGGTAAACCGCTTCAAATCCATGAGCCCACAAGAGGTTACAAACAAATTGAAGACCAGCAAAACAGTATCATGCTTTTCAACGAGGACGACGACGAGTTCGAGCGCCCTAGATGGATTCGGCGGTGGGGGGACTGAGCGCGCCATTGTGGATGGAGGAGAGCTCGCCCGTGAACGGAGGAGGAGAGGAAGAGAGAGAAAAAAATCTAGACAAATTTTTATTTTTATTTTACATTTGTCCACGTCGCTGCCACGTGTCAATTTATGATTGGGTTTTCGCCAAAAATGTATGCCACGTCAGCCTATGACGTGGCACTTAGCAACCACCGAATACTTTCTCGGCATATTCGGTCTTTGTGACAGAAATGCACGAATCTTTTAAGTGCAAAATGTAACAAGATCTAAGGGTTAGATCGCCAAAAAAAAAAAAAAGAACGCAACGTTCCCTAAGAAGGCATATCTAGATTGACATATGATGTCGAAAATAAAGATCAGAAACTTGTCGAAAGAACAGACCCTAGCCGAGCCCTCGGCGAGTCAAGGATTCGTCACGCGTCGGTGCGATGGAAATTTCACTAAAACCTATGCTTCACCTGTATCTATCTATCTATACTCTCGTATACGAATGCAAGTGCCGCGGACTGTTATAAGCTGGCTTGACTATGGCTAAGAGTACTAAATTTCAATTCTTCAATATTATTAATCTATTGAGACGCCGGACGTCGAAAGATGTTGACCATAGATACTCCAATTGGGTCTCGTTCAACCTGTCTTAACGTCAAATTTTCCCTTAACTACGAAGGATCAATTTTGTTGTGGAGCATGGAGTTTTCAACATGTTCAAACCTTAACTGATGTTGAAAACTGCAGAGTGTCTGGCCACAACTTATTTCATTTCCTTTGTCAATCTTCGATGAGTCCAGCAAGAAACGTCTGGCTCAAGGTTTGAAAAGTAAGCAACCATTTGATTAGTCCGATCTAGTAATCTAATCTGCCGTCTGCCGCCCGAATCCCGTCTCCGAGCCCCCATCTGCGCAAGTATTATATGGAGTCCCTTCTTTCTACATGATGATGGTGCTGGAGAAGTAACTCATGTATGTGTGCCTTTGGCAATGGTGGTCCCTTGGCTTTTCCACTCCATTCTCTTGCTGGCATTCCTACTGCACAAAGCAGCAGCACAAACGACGGCATCTCTAGCAAAGCCCGGCTGCTCCCAATACTGCGGAAACGTTGTGATTCCTTTCCCGTTTGGAATCGGAGAAAACTGTTACCTTGACAAATGGTTCGAGATCAAATGCGAGTTTGAGCGCCCGTCCCTGGCGAGTGTGGGGTTGGACGTCCTGCAGATAACTCTGGCGACTTATGAAGAAAAACCGGGCATCATTCGCGTCCAATCTCCGATCATATACTCGAACTGCAGCGGTGTGGGAAGTACCAATGCTTCTGTTAGCTTGGAAGGAAGTCCATTCGTGTTCTCTCAAACCAAGAACCGCTTCGGCGCGGTGGGCTGCAATACGCGCGCGTTGCTTAGGGGCGCGGAGTCGACGGTCACTGGGTGCGAGTCAGTTTGCGAAGGAGGTATGTCTGTTCGCATTTTGTCCCTCCTACCTAGGGATATAAGTAATTGTCCGAGGTGAACTCTCAACATAAATCGAGACTCGACTAACTCTCTAGAAACTAGTCAAGAAGCCTCTGCGATGCACTGAGATACCTTTTACTGTGAACGAATAATTTATGCTTCAAGTAAGCGTCTGGAAAATCTCTACAAATCGAATTAATGAAAGGATAATGATTTAGACTTGTTACTTTGGCGGTGATTTAAATGATTTAGCATGAAACGAGGAAGAAATCAAAATCCAGTATGGATTATAATGTTTGTTATGCTTGGTTCATATAAGGGTGTGTTTGTTTCGGAGAAAATTTCGTGATAAAATAAAACGCTTTCCAAGAAATCTTTTTGATGAAAATGTTTTCCCCTTTTTAGGTTAGGAATTCATTTTCCTAACTTTAAGCAAGTATATTTTCTTTGACCCTAGGGTGTGTTTGTTTTTTCTTTTTCGGCAAAAGTACACTATAAGTGCCATAACTTGTGTACGGCGATCATTTTGGTGCTATAACTTTTTTTCGGATCACTTTAATGCCAAGTCGGAGGAAAATAGATCACTTTAGTGACTCCGGCCAAAATTCCGGCCAAAAAGCTGACCTGGCATTTATATTAAAAAAATGGTCCGACTTGTACACGTGGAAATTATGTGGCTTTTTTTCGAATTTTTTAATTTTTAGAAAAATAATAATAATTAAAAAAAAGGTTGCAGGAGCGGTGAGGGAGCCCTTGCCGCTGCTGCAACCTTTTTTTTATTTTTAAATAAATATAATTTAATTTTTTTTTTAAAAGTACACGTTAGCGGGCTAAACGGCGTCGTTTTTTGTTTTTAATGCTGAATGGACCTCTCCGGCGAGCCGTGTCAGCGCCACATCGGATTTCCGGCGAGCCACGTCATCATTGGCACTAAAATGATCATTTTTCAAAAAAGTTGGTACCAAAAGTGATCCGAAAAAAAGTTATGGCACCAAAGTGATCTCCATACACAAGTTGCGGCACTTCTGGTGTACTTTTGCCTTTCTTTTTCTTTTTTTTTGGGTCGGAATGGTGTGTTTGTTTGAGTGAAACAATTTTTCACGAATTGGTTTTCTGGACTTTCACACGTTTGGCTTGCTGGAAACGATTAGCCAACGGGATTTACAGTCAAAGAAAATAGGCATTCTTAAAGTTAGGGAAATGAATTCCACAACCGGAAAAGGAGAAAATATTTTCCTGAAAAATGATTTTTCTGGAAAACACTTTCTTTTATCATGAAATTTTTCCAAAAACAAACACATCCCGACATTGAATTACGTTCCCCTAATTCTTCTTTTGGTTAATTTCACGCTAGCTTTTGGAATAACATAATGTGGATGTATTGTGTTATACTCTTTGATTGCCTGCATTCCAAGGACACAAATCTCACGAAGGGTTAGATAGTTTCAATGTACAAAATTCACCGACAACCGTGATTTGGGAAGACAATCAAATTAGTGGTGAAGGATAATAGAATTCTCTTTTTATTATTTCAAATGAAATTGCATACTTTAATGGCGATTGCGCATGAATTAAAAATATGTTTTGGAGAAACATATGAAAATGCGAATTTCATCTGTCCTATTACATCGCTTGCAGATTTTAAACTCGATTTTAAACACGAGTTGCTTGTCACTGAAAGAGAGGACCACATGTCAATAATTAGGGTGCGTTCGTTTCGCAGAAACTGAGTGATTTGGAGAATAATTTTCGAAAAATAATTGCTTATAATGTTTATAAAAATTAGTCAACGGATATTATTTTCATCATCAATAACAATTTATGCCTAACTATTTTCGTGGGCAATGAAAAAATTTCCATTCATTTATTTTTGTAAACAATACAAGTGATTATTTTTCAGAAAATGTTTTACAAATTATTCATTTTCCGCGAAATAAACACATCCTATATATACTTGGCCTGAATGTATAGCCAAACTCACTCCATTGCTGAAACATGCCTACTCAGGCTCGTGTTCCATCAGCAAATCCATCCTAGGATTTAGCAAGAATCGATCATGTTAACCGCAAGCATGACTATATAATAGTCTTTCCCAGAAAAGATGTATGTTTTCATCGAGCATCAATTCCACCAGGTAGAACAAAAACAAACTTCAGCAGTTGCTCTGGGAAAAACTGCTGCCAGGATAAAATCCCTGTGGATCTCAAGATCTTCAACGTGAGCATAGGTAGCATCGGTCCTGGCAAAGACGAAGAAGGTTCCAAATATGCTTTTCTGGTCGAGAGAGAGTGGTTGGTGTCCAACATGACCGACCCACTGACCTCGCCGTACATGGAAAATGTTCCTGTGGTTCTGGATTGGGGATTGAACAAAGTTTCTCTCGATGCGCTCGGACAGAGAAACGATCGTGCCGACTTTACATCCTACTATTGTGGCCTTACCTCCGACTTGTCATACCTGAAATATGAAAACTCAACCACGCAATGTGCTTGCTACTATGGCTATAACGGAAATCCTTACCTTGCAGATGGATGCAAAGGTAATCTTTCCCAATATTAGTATTTTCTTAATCAAATCCTAAGATATTGGTTTACGTTGCTTGGAAGACATCATCGCGGAGTTATTGCAGATATTTCTATGTCATTATATGTTACCTCTACTCCGAGTAGTCATGATCTACTAGATATAAATGAAAGTGGATACCCTGCTCACTGCCAGGAACATGTGAGAACATTCGTGGGAGCAACACATGCGGATTTCAAGGAAGCATTCAGGCCAGGTTCATCATTATAGGTAATTTTTCGACTCTGTTTCTCATGACTTAAGGAAAATAAATGTCACAGCATTTCACTATATGTTTTCTATGTCGCACAAACACATCTTGCATTGCAATCATTTGTAAAGCTAATTTGCATATGAGCCTGAGATTAAAGAGTTAAAACCTCAGTAGCATATTGTAGGAAATCTTGATTTGCATTAATTTCTTTGATAGAGGAAATACACCCATCATTCTATTGAACATACAAAAAGTTTAACATCTAAAATCTCGTACGGGAATTCTCATTTTACCAAGCAAACGTTCTTCCATCCTCTGTGAATCAGGAGTTGGCATAGCCCTTGGACTACTGTTTCTGCCAATTTACACTTGCAAACTGTACGAAGTTTTCATGAGGAAAAAGAAAATCAAGGAAAAGTTCTTCAAGAAGAACGGTGGGCTTTTATTACAGCAGCAACTATATTCAGGGGAACGCAATGTTGAGAAAACTACGGATAAGTTCAATGAGAAGAGAATACTCGGTCAAGGTGGCCAAGGCACCGTCTATAAAGGAATGTTGGCAGATGGAAGAATCGTGGCAATCAAGAAATCAAAGGTGGTTGATGAAGGAAAGGTTGAGCAATTCATCAATGAAGTCGTCATTCTCTCGCAGATCAACCACAGAAATGTGGTTAAGTTGTTGGGGTGTTGTTTGGAAACAGAAGTTCCTGTGCTTGCTTACGAATTCATCCCCAATGGAACCATTTCCCAATACATTCTTCATCAAAGCGACGAGTTTCCCTTAACAGGGGATATGCGGTTGCAAATTGCTGTTGAAGTTGCAGGTGCCCTTTGTTACTTGCATTCTGCAGCTTCAATTCCCATTTATCACCGAGATATAAAGTCTACAAACATTCTTCTAGACGAGAAGTACAGGGCAAAGATAGCCGATTTCGGGACTTCAAGATCAGTGGCCATTGACCAAACTCACCTGACGACACTAGTACGTGGCACTTTTGGTTATTTAGATCCTGAGTACTTCCGATCTAGCCAGTTCACCGAGAAGAGTGATGTTTATAGCTTCGGAGTAGTTCTTGCAGAATTGTTAACTGGTCAAAAGCCAATCTGCTCGACTAGATCAGAAGAGGATAGGGGTCTAGTTGCATTCTTCATTGCTGCGATGAATGAGAACAGACTTTTCGACACCATTGATCCACAGGTCATTGATGAAGCTAAGAAAGAAGAGATTACTGCAGTTGCTTACCTCATAAAAAGGTGCTTGAACTTGAGCGGAAGAAGGCGACCCACCATGAAAGAAGTCACAGTGGAACTGGAGGGAATAAGAATGTCAAGAATGGGGTCCAATGCTAACTCGTTTCATGATGAAATTGATTCAGATGAGACTGACCTCATCAATGCCTCAGAGAAGTATGCTTTTGATTCAGAGGACTTTGGCCTAGATACTGGAGTGGCTTCGTGTTCCAAAGTCGAACCATTTGCATCTTATTAGGAATAACGAACGGATTTTGCAATGCTGACAGAGCATGGTATTCATTTTGTTTTGTTCCGCTTGTTCATTTATCCAATTCATAGCACGTATCGTGAGATATGTTAGTAATGATGTTTTGAGATTAGAACTTCATTGTTTTACCTTGATATGCTTCTGTAGCCACCACAAAGCGTGCAATTTCTTTCAACACGGCCACCAACTCTTTAAAAGTTAATGATTATGTTTTTGTAGATAACACTTCCATGCCTTTTGACAACACTATTCCAAGGTGCTTTCATTTTCATCCACGACCTAACTATCCATAATCTGCAGACTTCTATTGGTAAAACTCAAGAAAAAGTCATTTAGCTAGACCTCGTGATATCAGGTGAATAACTCAAACTTATGACAACTATCAACAAAAACACGAAAGAACTCTGCGCATACATTTGAAATTTCATTAATCTTCCACAGCAGAAGCAGAAAATCTCCCGGTGTAGCAGTTTTGCATGCTCAACTGAACTACCTTGCAACAATAGCTATGAACTCACAAATAAATGTTAGGTTACTGGCATCTCTGGTTATGAGGCCACAGGTCTCTGTTATTCTACATCATTTGAGACATGAGAGACCAACAAAAAAATGGTTAGTGAATCATTAATTAATGAATGAATGTGATAATAACAGAAACCAAGTATTCTTCTAAACAAGCACTGCCATGGTGTTTTGCTTAATGACATAGATTGAATCTGAAATTCAAGTTTATGGGCTTCTCGCCTCAACTCTTTTAACACTTTATTGTTCAGATGAAGAACGTGATACTATACACAGAACGAGAGTCATTTCTGAAATATTCAGAACATATATTTCGGTATTGTATTAACAACCTCATGTCTTGTCTGATTGAAGTCATCCATTCATGTCTTTTACCTCTAATTATGAAGCATGATGTATTAACATAAAAGAATTAATGGTGGAAGCTCCACAATGTCTGACCACAACTTGCTAATTTCTTTGCGATATCTACAATGAATCCAGCAAAAACATCTGGTTCAAGCTGCCAAAATTAAACAACCCTTGATAAGTCAATCTTGAACATACTTCTCTCCTCTGCCGTCTGATTCGTCTTCAATCTCATAACTTAGTGAGTCTAATATTTAGTGTCTTCTTTCTATATAACAGTGCCAGAAGAACTTTCTCTGTACAAACTATAGTGCCTTGAGCAACGAGCAGATCACATACAACAGAGAGAACTGAGGATGGTCCATTTGCTTTTCTACTTCATGCTCTGCTGACATCCCTACTGAACAATGCAACAGCTAAAGCAACGGTGTCTCTTGCAAAGCCCGGTTGCCAACAATCCAGTAAAATTGCCGCGATTCCTTTTCCGTTTGGAATTGGAGAGAACTGTCATTTCAACAGATGGTTCGAGATCAAATGCAGCAGAATTTTCCGCCAGTTACTGACAAGTGTCAGCTTGGAGGTTCTGGAGATCGCTCTTGCAACTTTCTGGGACAAAGACAGCTTCATTCCTGTCAAATCTCCAATCATATACTCAAACTGCAGTGGCAGGGGAGATGGCAACCTTTCTGTTAGCTTGGAAGGAAGTCCATGTGTTTTCTTAGACCAAGAACAGCTTTGCTGCAGGGCGGTTGTAATAATCTCCCCTTCCTGAGTAACGTGGCACCGATGGTTATCGGTTGAAAGTCCATTTGCAATGAAGGTACATAGAGTCAGGCTTTTTGGTACTTCTTACAGAAATTAATAGATATTCAAGGAAAAGCTCTCAGTACAATGATATCAAGTTATATGAAATGCATGTAGTTTTGACCAATTTAACTTTGCTAGAATTACTTAGCAGGATTCTCAGGATGCGTGATAAATCTGAAGGAATCGAAGTTATTGTGTGCCAATTTAAGTCCTGAAGTATGGCTAGAGGGATGATTGGAAATAATCTAAAGTTGGACAGGAAAATGTGTATAGCTTCGCTCATTTGATTAGGCTGGCAACAAAAAGAAGCGACCCATGCAAGCCGACCTGTTTGCAACTATTTTTTCTGGAAGAGTCTAGCCACAGCGAACTATTTACCCTGAATATTTGGCTAAACTGAATTTAAATTCGTGCACTGTTACCACCTTATTATAAGGTTTTTTTCATCATGTAGAACATGTCAAGCTCATGCATGACTATACCATAATTATTTCAAGCAAACTATGTGTAGCTTGCTCATATAATGGTAATTTAATCAGTACATCCATGTATAACTTCAGCATTTGCTCTGGCATTAACTGCTGCCACACCACAATTCCTTTGGACCTCGAGATCTTCAATGTGAGTATAGGGAGCATCAATCCCAGTAAAAGGTGAAGAAGGTTGCAAATATGTTTTTCTCGTCGACAGACAGTGGTTCGTGGCCAACATGACAGACCCACTGACATTATAACCGGACTTGGAATATGTCCCCGTTGTTCTGGACTAGGGATTGAACACAACTGCTCTCAATTTGCTTGGATTGACGTACTATCCTGGATCGGGTTCTCCTTCCCTGGCTTACCGTTGCAGCTTTCCATCTGACTCCCCATCTTATCTGTTCGATGAATACTTGACCGCTCAATGTGCCTGCTACTATGGCTATAGGGGAAATCCATCCCTTACAGACGGATGCCAAGGTAATCTTTACCGGTACTGGTATATCCTTCACATTAAAAAAAACAAAATTGTTTAAAGGGACGTTTTCGGTGAAACATATGATTTCAGAGTGATAGCAGATGTTTTAAAGTATATAGAGAATCGTGTCAAGCTCTTTTATGGTACATTTAATCAACATAGTCACCATCTTTTAGACATTTGTTGACTTACCTTGTCACTGTCTGTTGGATGTAAATGAATGTGAAGACCATAATTACTGGCCCTCGGACTGCTGTTGCTGTTCGTTTATACTTACAAACTTTGCATAGTAATCAAGAGAAAGAAAATCAAACTCAGGGAAAAGTTCTTCAAGAAGAATGGTCGGCTTTTATTACAGCAGCAACTATATTCAGGAGATCGCAATGTCAAGAAAACCAGGTGGTTCAGTGCAAAGGAGCTGGAGAAAGCCACAGAACATTTCAATGAGAATACAATACTCGGTCAAGTTGGCCAGGGTACAGGGTACAAGGGAATGTTAGCAGATGGAAGAATCGTCGCAGTTAAGAAGTCAAAGTTAGTCTAAGAAGAGAAGGTCGAACAATTCATCAATGAAGCCATCATTCTCTCACAAATCAATTACTGTCGGAAGCGAGTATCGGGAGAATCGACTAACCTGTTCGATGCACTCCAAACACAATTTCCAGGATCACACGTTGAATCACTAGCAAACGATGAACAAATCTACTTAAAGGTGTCTCTCAGACACACCTCTTATTAGAGGAAATGGTGTCCCTTGGACACACACATCATGGGCGGACCGACGAAATATAACAATTACGGAATGTGGTTAAGTTGTTGGGGTAATGTTTGGAAACAGAAGTTCCTTTGCTTGTCTATAAATTCATCCCCAATGGAACCCTTTCTGATGTGGACATCGAACCCTATCGAGGAGGAGGTGCTAGGGACCCGTTGTTACTTTCCCAATTCATTCATAACCAAAGTGAAGAGTTTCCTGTAATGTGGGACATGCAATTGCAAATCGCTATTGAAGTTGCAATTGCGGGTGCTCTTTCTTACTTACATTCTGCAGCTTCAATTCCTGTTTATCACCGAGATAGAAAGTCTACAAACATTTTCTTAGATGAGAAGTACAGGGCAAAAGTAGCCGATTTTGGGACTTCAAAATCAGTGGCCATCAACCATACTCACCTGACGACACTAGTACATGGCACTTTTGGTTATCTAGATCCCGAGTTCTTCTGATCCAGCCAATTCACCAAGAAGAGTGATGTATATAGCTTTGGCATAGTTCTTGCAGAATTGTTAACTGGTTAAAAGCCAATCTGTTTGACAAGGTCAGAAGAGGATAGGAGTCTAGTGACATACTGCATTGCTAAGATGAAGAGAACGGACTTATCGACATCATCGATCCATGGGTTGTTGATGAAGCTAAGAAAGAAGAGATTGGTGCAGTTGCTTACCTCACAAAAAGATGCTTGAACTTGAGTAGAGAAAGGCAACCCACCATGAAGGAAGTCAAGGTGCAACTCGAGGGAATAAGAATGTCAAGGATGGGCTCCAAAGTCAGCTCAATTCTTGAAACCGTTTCAGCGGAGACTGGCCTCTTCGATGCCTCGGAGGAGTACAGTTTTAATTTGAGAGACTTTGGCATAGATACTATAGTAGAATCATGTTTCGAAGTCGAACCATTTGCATCTAATGAGTAACAACTAACAGATTAATACCATATCCTCTGACCTTCATATGCTCTGGTGTTCCCCACGAAGCATTCCATATCTTTGAAGACAGACAAAAAAGAGATTGTCCTAACAAACAGACTTGCAAATGTCTAATCTGGCTAAAAAATAGGCGGAAGAACAGCAGAAGTGCCAAAAGTTGTGTACGGAGCTCACTTTAGTGCCAAAAGTTCCATTTGGATCACTTAAGTGCCAAAAAATTTGAAAAACGATCTTTTAAGTGCCAACTCCGATCTGATTAGTTGGAAATCTGACGTGGCAATTTTTTATTAGTATTTGAAGTCGACGTAGCTCGCTGGAGAGTACAGTCAGCGTGTAAACAATAAAACGACGCCATTTTATTCACGATACCTACACTGTGCCGTTTTATTTAGTTTCTTCTCCCCAAAATAAGAACCCTAATCTCCAAATTGAAAGATGGAGGGCGGAAGCTCAGCAGCGGCTCACATTCGGGATACCTAACCCGCGAAAATCAGAACCTTAAATCCTTAATTATCAGCTCGCACTTGCAGATGGAGGGCGGAAGCTCTAGCAGCGGCTCACATTCGATTAAAAAAAGCAAATTAGATGGTGAGTGTTACTGTTTTTGTGGGTTACCGAGTCCGAGAAGAACATCTTGGACTCAATTAAATCCCG